GGCGCGGAGTCTGCAGTCTCTGGCGCGCCGCGTGCAGCTGACAGGAGAGGTAGGCGGCCGCCTCGGTGTGCTTCTGCAGCTCGGTGCCCAGCACCGTGGCGCGGTGGCTGCGGCGCCGCAGCTCCTCCAGGAAGCGGCGCTCCTCCGTGCGCAGGCTGCAGCGCAGCGCAGACACCAGCGCCTCGCGCTGCGCCACCTCCCGCCGCAGCTCGGCGTTGGCGGCCGCTCGCGCCGCCAGCTGCGACTCCAGTGCGCGGCACTTGCTCTCCAGCTCCCGGGACGCCGCCTCTGGAGAGGGGAGATGGAGAGGAGAGGTGACGGTCTCCGCCTGGCCGACCTTGCACAGCTCGCCGAGCCACGTTACAGAGCCCGGCACCTCCCCGACCACCCGTCCGGCCGCGCTCTCCCTCACTCCCACTCGTTGGCTACACAGGCCTTTCGCTTCCTCGGGGCCCTGGCACCTATCCTACCGTCTGGTCTCTCCTCTAATTCTTCAGGTCTCAGCTGAAATGCAAAACCCTCCCCGACCAGTATTCATGCACACCCACAAATATTTGTTGAGCCCTTACTATATGCATTGTGCTAGGCACTGGGGATATGGTGGATAATAAAACATTCCTCATGAAGCTTACAGAAAGCATAGTGGGAGAGGTATAGTACATAATCACAAATGCATGTGAGGTTGCATCAGTGACATGTGCCAATGCCACAACTAACTGGATACTGTGACCTTCATGCTTTTCAGCAGAAGAACCACTTAGGCTTGGATGAGTTGGAAGAATGAGCTGGAGTTAAGCAGTGAAGAGGAGAGAGAAGGGTGCTGTGCAGAGAGGAACAACTTGTACAAAAGCCCCATCCACGGTAGGAGGTAGGAGAGACATGCAAAAGTGAGGGACTGAAAGACTTGGGACCTGGGAATGTGGGTGAGAAAGGGCAATTAGTGTGCCCTGAACCTTGCTGTTTCTTTCCTAGGGCATTTGTTACATTTTGTAATTTCTTTTGTGTTACTTCTTTATTGTTTGCCTTTGCCCAAGGCGCTGGGTTTCAACACTGTATATATATTGGAACAACCCAGAGAGCTTTAAAACATAGTTTCCTGGGCCCTAACAAAGACCAATTGAATCAGGATCTCTGGGATTGGACCTGGGAACTGGTACTTCTTCAATGTTCCCAGGTGATTCTAATGTGCCCCCAGAGTTGAGGACCCCTGCCTCCTGGATCCTAATTCTCTCCATTTCAGCCGGCAACATATCCTGGGATTAACACATGTGAGCGATTGTAGAGACATAGATGGCTGAAAGGTGACACAAGGTAGCCAAAAAGGTGACTCAGGAAAGGATATGAAAACCAGCCAAATGGTAGGAGGACAAAGAAAGGGAGCTGTCCACCCCCCTGAGAGAGAGGACAAAAACCAGGATGCTGGGCAGTTCCTTGAGCTCAGATGACCCCAGAAACCCTTTCAGAGGAAGGAAACCCTTTCAGAGGTGGGGTGAAGGTTGCTGTTGTCACAGAACTGGTGTTTGGGATGTATGCCTCCTTCCTCCAAGCACTCAAGCATGAAGAGGTTGCCCGTGTTGCCACTTAAAGAAGTAGGTAGAATTCGTTCAAGTCTATACATGTTTAGAACTTTATGAACAAATACGGAAAGGATTTGTAGGGTTTTCAGTATTTTACTTAAAATTTCCAGCCTTCTCCATACCTAAGTCTTGGTCTCGTATGTAGCCTTTTTTGTTGTTGTTGTTGTTGTTGTTGTTGACAGAGAGTGCCCAAAAGGGAGAGGGGCACAGGGAGAGAGAGAATCTCAAGTAGGCTCCATGCTCACTGCAGAGCCCAACATGGGGCTCGGTCCTACACCCTGGGATCATGGCCTGAGCCAAAATCAAGAGGCGGATGCTCAACACTCAACCAACTGAGCCACCCAGGTGCTCTTGATCTATGAGCAGCACATCAGTATGGCAGGGAGTCCATTCCCAGCTAACTTCCTCTCTGCTAAGAAAGACTACATAGTGATTCATTTTAAATTAAGCATTCACTGAGTCCCTCTCCATGTCTTGCACTTGGAGATGATGGATAACATCCAGTCCCAGTTCTCAGAGATCATATAACTTTGGTGATTAAGATCTCAACAATGGAACCCCTCCCTTAAAAAAAAAAAGTTTCAATTGTAGCAAAAAAACAACATAAAGTTTACCTTCTTAACCATTTTTAAATGTACAGTTCAGTAAAGTAAACTCACATTGTTGTGAGTTTTGCAAAAGTGAAACTTCATCTCCATTGAACACCATCTCCCCCCCCCCACCTCCATTTTATGGGTGAAGTAATAATCTGTAAACAGATATTTTAGTGGAATTGCTACAATGGCAAGAAGTCGCGCTTTTGGAAAATGAAGGATTTGCTGACGCGTTTCTTTTTTCTCCTCATCTAGACAATGTTCCTTGAAGCCATGGACTCCATTGCCATTGTGTTGCATCTCAGCTTCAGCATCTTGGAGGGTGTGGACACTGACTGTAGAGATCAATTATGCAAGGATGGGAAGGATTAGGGAGGTGGGTCACAGAAAGGAATGAGGTTGATCAGGTGGACTTCCAAGATACCATCTCCTTCCTGCCTTCATTTTCCTACCTTGAACAGAGACATGGATACAAGGTATGGTGGTACAGGTTGTTCACTGCACAATGTCACCCAGATGAGTAGGTAAGTGGGGCTGACATCCTTCACTCTGCTGAAGAAGCTGAGGAGTGGCAGTCCCCCAAGTCTGGACTGGGGACAGAGAAGGCTTGGGTCTTACCAAGTGGTGGGGAAAAGGTAACCTGTTGGGCCCCCATGCTATTTCCCCACCAGTCATCCTTCTCTTACCTTGCTGGTGAGATTGGGCCTCTCTCATCTCCAGGTCATGAGTCAGTTCTGGGGGGAAAGAAAATAAAAGGTAGTGGTGTGTGTGTGTGTGTGTGTGTGTGTGTGAGAGAGAGAGAGAGAGAGAGAGAGAGAGAGAGAGAGAGAGATCAGGGAATCACAGCTCAGTAAAAGTGACAATATTAGCATCCTTAGAAACCATCTAAACCATCTCCCTTACCTATTTTACTGCAGTCCAGTGAGGGGAAGAAGTGAAGACAGGTGCAAGGCACAGCTTAAGCCTGATTGGCCTGATTCTAAGCCCAGAGATCTTTCCAGTGCAAGTGCAGTGGCCTGCGTTTGGAGGTTAGCTCATCCCTGTGGGACTGAGGAGCCTGGCTTGCTTTTGGGCCTGGGGGGGGGGGGGCAGTACTAGCTCCTTCCCAGAGGTAACATAAAATATCTAACATGAGGACAAATCAGAGCTATTCTGGAAGACCCCTGCTGTGCAGGGCACAGCCCCTTTAGTGTTTAGTTGGTGCACGTGCGAAGTGTCTGGGCTGCTTGCAGGCACTGGAGGGGGACTCAGGACAGTGGCTATTTACCAATAGGGCACATGCGTTTCACTATTTTCACAGCCAATACTGTCGTGCCTGTGTTATTTTCTGAACATCAGTCCAGCTCGTTTTTCAGCCCTGTTTTCCGCCATATTCCACAGGGTAAGAAGAGGGGCTTCAAGGGGGACAGCGCCACCTGGTGACGGAAGTCCTGAATGGCACTTGGCTTATGCTGAGGGGGCGGGGTCAGTCCGCTAAGGGAACGGTGTAGGAGGTGTAGGAGAGGTTTCCTCCTGGGCTCTCACTGGCAGCCCAGCCACCACGGGGGGAGGGAGGGGAGGCGGGGGGGGGGGGGGACACACCTCCCTGTCTGCCCAGTCCCCATTCCTCACAGCCCAGAATGTTCTGCTCCTCAGTCAGCTGAGTTTGATCATTTTTTCAGCCCCACCCCAGCGCCCTGGACTCCACCAAGGCTCAAAAACTGGGAAAAGGGCAGGATGGAGCCCAGCAGCAACTGGTGACAGAAAGCACCTGTCCTGGAGCACGTGTGTGTTCCTGCATGGGTGCAGTCAGATGCCTAAAGGAAGTGTGAAATTGGGAGTGGGATAAGGTAGCACATCTCTGGCATCAATGCCCACAGCACCTACACAGTCTAGTCTTGTGGGGCCCTCACCTGGCTCTTCCCTTGGGAGGCCAACTGTTGCTAGGGCTTTTTGCTGTGACCTGAGTCTGAACCTCCTTCCTGGAGCCCCAGGGAGGACCCTGATGCCTCCACCCTCCAGGGCTTCCTGGAGCCAGTTTGGCCCCTCCTGCAAGGCCCTGGAGTAGCTCAAGGGATTTTGGCTCTGCCACTAACTCCCCGTGGGGCTGGTTTCACTCTTAACCAGGAAGTTGGGGGAGGGGAGATAGAATCCTAGTTGGGCTCCACTCCCCCATCCATCAAATCTCCCTGCCCATCTTCCCTTTAGAAGGGCATGCAGTGAGGTCAGATACCCTGTGTGACCTTGGGCCAGTGACAGCACCTCTCTGGGCTTCAGTTTTCTCATCTGTGAAATGGGGACAAAATTGCACCTGCCTCTCAAAGGGCTATTGCTAGGATTAAATTAGAGAAATAAACAGAGGGCCCAACCCAGGGCTGAGTCAGTGCTGAATACATGGGGCAGATCTTGTTATCATCCAGGCTGCCCCACCAACCAGAATATGCCCACCCACCTCTTAGAACCCCTTCATTTTGAGTGCCACCCCTTTTTGGCAGGCTCTTTCTGAAGCCCTGCCCACTTGGTTCCTATACTAGCTCATCCCCTCTCCCATCCGCTTCCCAGCCCCTGAGTCCTTGTTTATTTTTGTATTTTTTAAAGTTTATTTATTATTTATTTAGAGAGAGAGTGTGATCATGAGCAGGGGAGGGGCACAGAGAGAGAGGGAGAGAGAATCCCAAGCAGGCTCCATGCTATCAGCTCAGAGCCTGATCTCATAAACCATAAGATCATGACCTGAACCAAAATCAAGAGTCAGACACTTAACTGACTAAGCTACCCAGGCCCTCCCTGTTTACATATGTATATGCATGTACATATATACATACATATATGTGTATATATATATACACACAAACATATATGTACATATATGTATATAAGTGTATATGTATAAATTAATTTTTTTATTAAAAAATTTTTTTTAATGTTTACTTATTTTTGAGAGAGAGAGAGAGAGACAAAGCATGAGTGGGGGAGGGGCAGAGAGAGAGGGAGAGACAGAATCTGAAGCAGGCTCCAGGCTCTGAGCTGTCAGCACAGAGCCCGATACAGGGCCTGAACTCACAAACTGTGAGATCATGACTTGAGCCAAAGTTGCACACTTAACCAACTGAGACACCCAGGTGCCCCTTAATTTGTTTTATTTTTAAAACTAGGTTCCATGCTCAATATGGGGCTTGAACTCATGACCCTAAGATTAAGAGTCGTATGCTCTACTGACTGAGCCAACCAGGCATCCATCTAAGTCCCTGTTTAATCCCCTTGAAAAAAATTTTCTTTTTTCTGTTCCTTTCTCCTCTTTCTTCCACCCATTGGAAGAAGGGCCTTATTCAGGTATTTCAGCCCCAGTAGTGGCTGCTTCAGGCCAACCCAGTGTTATTTTTATCTCCTGAATCAATAACTGAGAGGCTGCAGTCCCATAGCAGGCTGAGGAGGGTGGTGGGGGCTGTTCCTGCCTATTACACTTTTTTGGGGTCCTGGCCTGTGTCCTGAGTGGCAGGACCTAGGTCTTCAGAATTCAGGCAAAGCAAAAAGAAATCAGGGCAAGAGCTATAGGGTCTTAGGGTCCACTCATCGTGATTTTCCTTTAATGTTGTTATTGCAATGAGAAAGTGGCATCAGGCAGGAGTGAGTCTGCATGGGCCATCCCTGACCCATGGACTGGCCCCTGATGCCATCCAGGCTTCCGGGGAGATTGCAGGGAGCCTGGCCTAGGAACGTAGCAGCTGAATCTGTATATGGAGCCAAGGACAGCGTGGGGGCCGAGAGTCAGGACGACCAGGCTCTGAAGCCAGAGTGAGAAGCCAGGCAGGTCACTGAGTTTCCCTCTGGAGAATGGGGAGCCTCCCATGAGCAGAGGCTGGGAGGGAGGTAGAAATCTGAGCATCTTGGGGAGAGAGTATGCAGAAAGCTGCAAGAGGCATGCACAGCTGGGAGTCTGCAGCTCTGGGGTCTAATCTTGGCTGTGTCACTGACATATTGTGTGGTGTGTGTGCTCTCTCTCCCTCTCTCTCTCTTTGGGTCTCAGTTTATCTAGTTGTATAAGAAAGAGGTTGGGCTGTTTCAGGTGACCCATTCTATGAGTCATTGCCTCTAGCACCTGTACTTGGGGACTCGGCCTGGATGAGCACTTGGGCCAGAGCCTAGCCTCTGAGAGGGCCGGGCAGCTGAAGCCTGAAGTCCAAGAGCAGAGGTCAGGGCTGGCATTTGGCTTCATTATTGGTACCTCCTTCTGTCTTGTTCACAAATCCAGTTGGTTGTCAAGTCCTTCCCTTCACCCTGTCTCCCACTGGTCTTCCCCTTTCTGCCCCTCTCCCCTCGACCACTGCATCAGCCTCATCACTGGTATCCCTGCCTCCCTCCCCCTCCAATTCCTACAACTGCTGAGTTTTTTAAAGAGCATGATGCTACTCAGAAACCTTCAGGGGCTCCCCACTACCCAGGAGGACAGGCCAAACTTCTTAGCTGCCCTGATACTTGTCAAGGTCTTCTGTTATCTGGCTCCAGCTGTATTTCTCACCAGCCTTAAGCACAGCTTTATCCAGTCAAATAGAACTTTCCCCGAGCTTTTGATTTCCTACCTTCTGGACTTTGCCATGCTATTTGCTTCATTTGGAATGCTTTCTCTACCCTCATTCCCCCGTAGTGTCTCAGCAGGTCTACATCTCAGCCTCAGGGAGTGGAAATGCTCCCTCCTCTGGGCAGCCTGGGGTGCCTGGTCTCCTTTATCTCCCACACCTTAGGCTGAACATGATCCTACCCATGACCTCTCATTGGCCCTCTTCATTTTCTTTTCTTTTTTTTTAATTTTTAATTTTATTTATTTTGAGAGAGAGAGAGTGAGAGAGTGTGAGAGCAAGCACGGGGGAGGGGCAGAGAGAGAGAGAAAGAGGGAGAGAGAGAGGATCCCAAGCAGGCTCCGTGCTGGCAGTGTGGAGCCCGGCACGGAGCTTGAACCCATGAACCGTGAGATCATGATCTGAGCCGAAACCCAGAATTGGGAGCTCAACTGACTGAGCCACCCAGGCGCCCCGGGCCTCTTCATTTTCTGTAAGTCTTAATGTTACCCCCCCCCCGCCCCCAACTATCCTGTGTGTGTATCTTCTAGCTTGAGGGCTTGCAAGGTTTTGGAAGTGCTTGATGAACACTTAGTGGCAAAGGACAGGAATCCCTAAGAATGGCTCCAGGTTTTCTTCGGCTACTGAACCAGAGCCCTTGCTCTAAAGCTCATGTCTCATCTCCCCAAGACAAGTTTCCTCATCAGAAAAAGGGGTGTGACCCTCACCTGGCAGGTCTGTTGTGAGGTTTAGGGAGGCTCATGGGGGGCACTCCATCAGAGACTGCTGATGGTGATGACTGCTGATGGCCCCCACTGCCCACCATCCCTCCGGCCTCACCTGAGCAGCGTTTCTGCAGCCTCAGGATCTCCAGGTGCAGGTCTCGAAGCAGGGCCATCTGCTCCTTTTTCAGGAAGCTGATGTGGCGTTGCACACTCTGGATCTGATGCTCCAGGGACACGGTATCCATGGCAACCCAGGCCTGGGCCCCACCTGGGGGAAAGACGAGAAGGTAAGCCCACATCTTGTGGGGCCATCTGCCCTGCCCCCCCTCAGATCCCTCATAATGTCCTGCAGTCTGGGCTCCTGCTGCCACCACGTAGACAATTCTACCCCTGTAGCTCTCTCCCCCGTTTACTCACCAAAGCTTCATGCATGTGTCATCAGGGGAGTATGATTATTCCCATTTAATAGATGAAGAACCAGAGGTCTTCAGGGAACCAGGAACATAAATGGCTTCACTCCCCTGCCTGCATGTAACTTTAGCCTTTCTGTTTCTCAGGGAGGAACACGAATGGAGCAACAAAGTCAATAAAGAGAGACAGAGGCAGGTTCTAGCCTGCTTCTTAACCAGGTGTGTGACTCTGGGCAAGCCCTCTCCCTCTCTGGGCTCTTTGTTTTCTCATGGCTAAAATGAGGGAGTTGTGGAGTGGAAAAACCCATCCCGCCAGCATCTCAGCTCACCCACCAGCTGGTAGACCAGCATAATGGTTAGAGCACACCCTCTCCCAGTTCAAATCCGTTTTTCTGACTTAAACTTAACCCAGGGCCCTGGGCTCTTCCAGGTCACAGAGGAGGAAGATCTGATGTGTATTTTACTAAGACGAACTCTACAGGCTGAAGGCAGGTGGCAGAGTCCTTTTTTAAAAGAGGAGTTGGATGGGGCGCCGGCTAGCTCAGTGGGTAGGGCATGTGACCCTTAATCTCAGAGTTGTGAGTTCCAGCCCCACACTGGGTGTGGAGATTACTTAAAAACAAAATCTGGGGCACCTGGGTGCCTCAGCTGGTTAAGCACCAGACTCTTGATATCAGCTGAGGTCATGAGATCGAGCCCCTCTGTTGGGCTCTGTGCTGAGCATGGAGCCTGCTTGGGATTCTCCCTCTCCCTCTCTCTGCCCCTGCCCCACTCACACATATGCTCTTTCTCTCTCTCTCAAAATAAATGAACATTAAACATTTTTATTTTATTTATTGTTTATAGATTAAAAAAAAGTGTTTATTCATTTTTTGAGAGAGAGACAGAGCACAAGCAGGGGAGGGGCAGAGAGAGAGGGAGACACAGAATCCAAAGCAGGCTCCAGGCTCTGAGCTGTCGGCACAGAGCCTGACGCAGGGCTCGAACTTTTAAACTGTGACATCATGACCTAAGCTGAAGTTGGACGCTTAACCAACTGAGCCACTCAGGCATCCCTACCAAGTTTTTTCCCTAGTTGAGCCTTCAGATGAGAATGCAGCAGCCTTAATTTCAGCCTTTTGAGGCTTCGAGCAGAGGACCCAGCTAAAATGTGCCAGACTCCAGATCCTTGGAAACTTGTGAGGTAACAAACTGATACTGTTTTAAGCCACTTAGTTTATGAAAATCTTTAATGCAGCAATAGAAAAGTAATACAGACTTGAAGTAGGGGTAGGAGTTAGAAGAATAAAGAGAAGAACATTTGAGACAGTGGATAGCATTTGTGAAACCCTGAGGTAGGATAATAATGATAGCTTACATTTACTGTGTTCCTATTATGTGCCAAGCCTTATGCTAAGTGCTTCACATGGTCTTTTCGGGGAACAGAGACTTTGTCAATGCCAGTGAGAACTGAAGTGTAAGGTATTCGGGGAGGGCTGCAGGAAGAGAGGTTAGCAAGAGAAGGATCGGGCCATAGTCTTGTAAACTATGCCAAGAATTTAGGATTAATACTGAATGAATTGGGAAGTTATTATTATTATTATTATTATTATTAAAGTTTTTAAATTTATTCTGAGAGAGGGAGAAAGAGAGAGTGAGAGAGCTGGGGAGGGACAGAAAGAGAATCCCAAGCAGACTCTGCACTGACAGTGCAGAGCTCACTGCAGGGCTCAGTCCCACAAACCATGAGCTCATGACCTGAGCTGAGATCAGCAATCAGATGCTTAACTAACCGGGCCATCCAGGCACCCCTGAATTGGGAAGTTATTAAAGGATTTTAAGCAGAGGAGGGACATTATATGATTTACATTAAAAAAGTTTTTTAATGTTTTATTTATTTTTGAGAGAGAGAGAGAGAGAGAGAGAGAGAGAGAGTATGAGAAGGGGAGGGGCACAGAGAGAGGGAGACACAGAATCCAAAGCAGGGTCCAGACTCTGAGCTGTCAGCACAGAGCCCAACACGTGGCTTGAACTGGTGAACTGCAAGATCATGACCTGAGTCGAAGTTGGATGCTTAATCAACTGGACCACCCAGGTACCCCCCTTTAAAAAAATATTTTTTTGATTTGCATTTTTAAAAGATCGTTCTGGCTGCTATGGGGAGGGCAGATTAGAGGGGGCAGAATGGATGTGGGAGGTCAGCTGGGAGAATGGAGCAGTGGTCAAGGTGAGAGATGATAGAGGCCTGGACCAGATGATGGAGATGAAGACCAAGAGAGGTTCCAGGTGTATTTTGGGGGTAGAATTGGCAGCACATGGGAATGGATTATATTAAGTCATGACGATGGGGAGGGTGAATGTTTGGGATGTCTCCTAGTTTTCCAGTTTGGGCAACTCAGATATGTTTGCTGGATCTTTCTACATTTCCTCACCTTTCACAGTAGACCTCTTTCACAATGGACCTCTTCTCTAATCTATAATTTCTCCGTAGGTGATCTTGTTCAATCCCATGGCTGTAACTACCATTTATATGCTGACCCCTAAACTAACTCTCTCCTGTATGCTAGACTGACTGCTTAAGACCACCATTTGGATGTCTGATGGGTCCCTCAAATTTGCATGCCCCAATACTGAACTCTTGTGATCTGTCTTAAAAACATGTTCTTGCCCACTGTTTACCATCTTGATAAATGGCACTGATTTTTACCTATTCTCTCAGTTTCTCAGGCCAAGAACTTAGGAGTTATCTTTAATTCCTCTCTTTCTTCATATTCCACAGCCAATCCATCTGCAAATCCAGTTGTCTCCACCTTTGAAAATGTGCATCCTGAATCCAATCGGTTCTCACTATCTCCATTGTTGTCACCCTAGTCCCAGCTCCCACCATCCCTCTGATGTATCACTGTGGTAGCCTGTGACTGGCTTCTCTCTTCCACTCCTGCCTTGTTTCCCATGCAGCAGCTGGAGTTCCTTTAGCAAATCTGATCACGTCTCCCTGCTCCCCACTCAAAACCCCCCAACAGTTCCCCATCACACTTAATTCCTAGTCCAGAATTCTTACCAGATCCTATACAATTGTCCCTGGCCCTGTTTGCTCTCTTCTAGTACTGCTCTTCCATTGCTGGCTCCACCCAAGGCACTCTGGCTTCCTTACTGTTTCCTGAATATGCCACACACCCTTGCCTCAGGGACTTTGTGTGTGCTGCCCCATCTCCCAGGAATACCCTTCACCCAGATACCCCCATGGCCCATTCCTCCCCTTCATTGAGGACTCTGCTCAAATGTTACTTCCTCAGAGCCCTTCTCTGATTACCCGATTTAACATAGAACCCTCTGTCACTCTCCACTCCCTTAACCTGCATTGTTTTTCTCCCATGAATTTATCACCACATGAGTATATTACATTTTGTTTCTTGCCCATTTCCTCTGCCAGACTGTTGGCAACATAAGATGAAGGTCTCTGTTTTGTTTCCTTCCGTTCCCTAGTGCCTAGCACAGTATCTGGCAAATAGAATATACTCAGTAAATACTCGTGGAATGTACAAGTGAGTGAATTTGTGGAGCTGGGCAGACTGATGGAGGAGCAGACTTACAGAAGAGATAAGTTGAAGCCTGAGACATGTTAGATTTGACATGTTCAAGAGACCTAAACGGGGAGAAATAGATGTCCAGCAGGCAGTCAGATATACTGGTGCATAACCCAGAAGGAACAGAGAAGCTCCGTCTGTGCTGCTGTAAAACTGCGTTGGCATGTGTGTGCCTGTGTGTCTGCACATGTCCCTGAGTCTGTGTGTGTGCCTCGAGGAGTGCACGTATGTGCACATGCATGGGGGGGGGAGTTCTTGCTTCTCTTGCATCTATGTGTCTGGTCTGTGAGCACCTGGAGGACGAAGGCACGTGGGCCTCTGCTTATGATGAAGAGAGAAAATATCTGTTCCCAACCGCTGAAACATAAGTGTCTCTGAAGAGTAAAAGCCTTTTCCACACAGCCCTGGAGACTGGACCCTGGCCATTGTGAGAGGCTGAGCCAACCAGCTGTTTCTGAGCCTTCCCAGAAGGACTTGAGGATTTGTTTCCAACTAGGCAGGCTGCTCTTCTCAGGGCAGAAATTTGGGTCACAGATGATCTTGGCAGATATTCTTTCTTACACGTTATTGTTTAGTTTGTTTGGGGGAGAGCGGGAAATGGAGTGGGGAAGGGGAACCACAATACACATCTCTTATTTGCGGCTGTCACACTTCAGAAGGCCCAAGCCAGGAAAATGTCAGATTTTCCCAGAGAAATGCAGCCCTGGGGGCACCTGGGTGGCTCAGTACATCAAGCTTTGACTCTCGGTTTTGGCTTGGGTCTCACAGTTCATGGGTTCCAGCCCTGTGTTGGGGTCCACGCAGGCAGTACGAGGCCTGCTTGGGATTTTCTCCCTGCCCCTCCCCCACTCGCGTTCTCTCAAGAATCAATAAATAAACAGAAAGAAGAAAGAAAGAAAGAAAGAAAGAGAGAAAGAAGGAAGGAAGGAAGGAAGGAAGGAAGGAAGGAAGGAAGGAAGGAAGGAAAATGGAAAATAAGTCCTGGAAACCTCTGGCTTGAGAAGAAGCTTGTGCCTGAGAACTTGGTCCAGGCCAGTGGCAGCAGCTGAAGGGTTAGAGTTACCAGCTTTATCTTCTCCCCACATCCGGCCCAAGATGTCCTACCTCACAGATTAGAGTGAGAAGGGTCCCTCGCCTTTGTCCACTGTCCTGGCCACCTCAGGGTCTGTACTGTTTCCCTGCCCACCTTCTCCTGTGCTCCTAGTTCTTTGTTTTAATTTTCTAGCTTGATGAAAAATGTTCATTTAACAAATTGTCTATTTAAAAATAAAAAAGGGGCCTGTAACACAGGGTTCAAGTTTATAGAGGTAATCCCGGGTACTTTTGCCATGCCTCTCATCTGTCTGCAAGTTACAAGTATTTTTCCCCTTGGGAAGTTGCTGGGAGAATGCTTCTGTGCTCATGTCTCCAACTACAGACAAAATGCCAGGCTCAGGAACCCTCTAACCCAACACAATTCTCACTCTCTAAGGCCTGGGCTCCTGGTCTCTAAAAATGACCTCATCTCCTGCTTGTCTTTTCGAAGCTTCTGGGTACGCACTTTTCTTGCCAGCTATCTGATTCCAACGGACATGGCAAATAGGAAACTGTAGTTCTCTCCCCTTTCCCTTGTTATAGTTCTTTGGGTTAGAAGAACCACAGAAAATGCAGAATCATAGCACTCAGGGCTCCAGGGGCAGTTGGGATCATCCTAATCATTGGTTTGCAAATTTTGCTACATAGAGCCCAGAGTTCCACAGAGGAGTCTCAGAAGTTGTCAAAATGGTTGGAGGCACAAGGCAGAGGTTTTGTTATTTTTACCCCTCATTTATAGGATGGACAATTCATTGGAGAAAAGCCTTCTGCTAATCAAAAGTTTGAACATCACTCTTAAAGTCCAATCTTTCCTTGGGTGGCTAACCACTCCCCCTCCCTCAATCTGCTCAATGTCCCCTGGCCTCTGATGCCCCATCTCACCCTCAGGCAGACGAAGCGGCTGGGAGAGGAATCAGAACTGAAGACTCTTGCTTTCTGCTTATGTGGAGTTTGCATTTTCTGCCACCCCTCACCCCCTGACTGCTTCTCTTGTCCCAGTTTCAATTTCCTTCTTCGTGTTTCTTTTCTCTTCGGGACTGAAAGTATTTATTGAGTCAACAAATATCCTTGTACTGTTCTGAGCACTCAATATCCACGTTTTGTTAAAATTCTTTAAGAATGCCTTCTTGGGGCACCTGGGTGGCTCAGTCGGTTAAGTGTCTGACTTCGGCTCAGGTCATGATCTCACGGTCCGTGAGTTCGAGCCCCGTGTTGGGCTCTGTGCTGACAGCTCAGAGCCTGGAGCCTGTTTCAGATTCTGTGTCTCCCTCTCTCTCTGACCCTCCCCCGTTCATGCTCTGTCTCAATAAGTAAACATTTAAAAAAAAAAAAAAAGAATGCCTTCTTGTTTCGGGGAGAATATTAAACTCATTTTTGTCATTTTTATAGTCAGGGTAGGTATATTAGACATGGCAAGCATGGTAATAAATGGATAAATAAATTACGTCCTTTATTTTTCTTAGTCTTTATTCCTCTCTACTACCTGGCTCTGAGGCCTCGGGTAGTGGGAGAACAGAAACTCAAGAAGTGTTTCTCAGATATGGAGGCACAGGTAATAATACTTATAATAATCATCACTGCACAGGTAATACTTACATAACAATAATAAATGGCTGGCACTGTTCTTAGCATTTTACATATATTAACTCATATTAACTCATTTATGTTTATAACAACCCTACATTGAAGGTTCTATCAGTATATCCACTCCATAGATGAGGAAACAGAGGCTCAGACAGGTTAAGTACCTTGCTCAATAGACACAACTACAGTTTCTGGCAACTAGGAGCACCCCACTGGGTGCTCACCCTGCATTAAGGTCCTTCAAATCTAAACACAGTCCACATTTGCAGTCTGATCTCCTCTTCTTTGGGATTCTACCTTTTTTGCTTTCACAGCAAACTCACCCCATATCCATGGATGAACATCCCTCTCCCCTCTCTCTGCCTCCTGAAACCTGCCCCATCCTTCAAGGCCCTACTCAAAGGCTACCTTTCTTACTAACCTTTCCTTGACCCTCACCAAGCTGGAATGACTCCGTTCCATTGCTGTGTTTCCCAGGAATCATTCTACCATGTATCACACTTCCCTGTCCCCCCCCCCCCCCCCGCAACCTCCGTGTGAGTGCACAGGGGTGCCTGGCTTCTGCTCTAAGCCATAAAGTTACTGAGGGCAAGACCTTGTCTTTGGGAATCCTTTGCATGGAACAGGTGCACAATGAATGTTGGTAAAACAGGGAGAATGAGTTCAGTGTTATTGGGAATCACCTAGGCAAGTAAGTACATGTATTAGAAAGTAACCCCCCTCCCCCCAAGTCCTTGGCTCTCCTAGGGACTTGAGTTGGGAACAAGAAGTCAGGCTTTGACAAATGTCTGATACTCTGCAAGGTGGGCTCACCTGGCCAGTGGGTGGAGCCATCTTCCCCAGGGGTCTTGTGATCCTCTCCACTCCAGAACCTCTCCTCCTCGGTTACCCCTAGGCTATGGGTTCCCCCTCTACTGAAGGGGAGAGATCTCAGGACACCCAGCCTCAGCAAAGCTGAGTGTCCAGGGACACGGGAGTGGGATGTATGAGGAAACTGGAGCCCCCATCCCCTTCAGTCTGGGTGTTCTGCCTGATTATGCCTCCAATATGACTCCCAGAGAAGGCAGAGGGGGATATGGAGACTAAGGAGGACGGGGAAGAGGGGTACCAGGAAGGACAGGGAAAGGAAGGCATAAAGACGTGTGTGATGGGAGGTGGCAGGAGGTGGCGGTGGCTCGACCTCAGGCCGCTCTGGACTCTTCGCCAGGGCCGGTAAGGACCTGAGTCCGGGTGGTGGAGGACAACTTCTGCCAGCAGCCCGCGGGTCCTGTCCGCCTCCCGCGCGCTGCGGTGCCCAGCCCAGCGCCAGCCCTCCCAGGGGAGCTGGAGCTCCGGCCCCGCTGCTCCCGCCGGTGGCCACCCCCACTGTCCACCCCCCACGCCCACCGGCCTCCTCACCTTCGGGACCTGAGGGAGCGACTGGCCAGCAGGGCCCTGGGTCCGGGCCAGGCTGGGTGGGGGGAGGCGCTCTTCTTCCCCGCGCTAGCTGCGCCTGGGGTTCCGCAGCACCCGCCCGGGCTGCGGCGCCATCAGCTGCTGCGAGGCTGCGGGGCTGTCGGGCCGGGTCTCCGGGGGGTTCCGGGGCGCCGAAGGGGGGTCCGGGGCGGGCTCCAGGCGTAAACACCCAGCAACGTGACCGGAACTGGCGAACGAGCCGTAGGGGGGAGCGGGGGGGGGGCGGGAGAGATAAGGGGGGAGGGGAGGGACTTGGGACTGGCGGGGAGGGGCCGTGGGCGGGGCGGGGGGAGGGGAGGCTGGCGGCGCGCAGTCGGGGGAGGGGAAACCCCAGGAGCCCCGGGAGCCAGGCCTGAGGACCCCGGCGGGCAGCCGAACTCAGGGAGCTGGCTTTGGCTGGGAGCTGGAAGGGAAACCCAGGGAACCCGCCGGCCACTTGGCGAGCAAGGGCGCGGCGGGCGGATCAGCACCGCGGACAGCGCCCAGGCCTGTAGGCCGCGATCCGCTCCGCCCCTCTGCCCACCCACTGGCGTAGGAACCAGGGCTATGCCCACTGGCCCAGGGAAGGGTTGAGGGTGCGACCTGACCAAAGGTCAAGAAACCTATTTTGTGCCTAATTGGCAGCGAAGTGAGACCTCTCACTAGCTGTGTGACCTTGGGTGAATCACATCACCTACCTCTCTGGGCCCCAATTGTTAAGACATCTTCTTTTCCTCTGGGAACCTCCCAAGAGCCAAGATAAAATCTTGTATAAACTCTGAAGTCCAGAACATTGGTACTGATACGTTTTCACTGCACAAGGGAGACTTCTGTAGTTGGACTACTTGGCTTCTAATTCTGGCTCTACCAATAGCTTTCTCTTCCCTGGACCTTGGTCTCCTTATTTGTAAAATGGGATATCGATGGTCTATGCAACCCATATGTCTCTGAGTTGTTGTGAGGATGAAATAAATTAACATTTGTAAAGTGCTTAAAACAGTGCTACATGCTCACTAGGCATTCGTATTCATAATGGCAAGGGACCAGGTGGTGTTGTATGAGTGGCAGGGGACTCAGCTCTGGGTAAGTCATTTCCATCCCTGCTTTTAGGGGCCAGAGGAAGGGTCTGAGGGGATTCAGGTTAAAGGGCTGATATGACTTTTCCCACACCATTGCCAACCAAATATTCCATGCCCTGCCTTTTGGGGCCAAATATCCAGAGAAGTCCTCCACTTTTGTCTCCAGAACTGGAAGACTCTGACATGAGGGCTTTGGAGGGGGTTTTGGCAACTCATTGGCCTCAAAGGTACCCTGCCTTCTCTCTATGGATCTCTTTCCTCCCTGCTCTCCAGTCAACTTTTAAGCCTTCACTGGACTTGGGTGTCAATAAATAAAAGTTTTAGCTGCTCCTAGAAGATTCTAACCCTCAAAAAGTTGAAGAAATGGGACACCAGGGTGGCTCAGTCGGTTAAGCATTCAACTTCAACTCAGGTCATGATTTCGCAGTTTGTGAGTTTGAGCCCCGCATCGGGCTCTGTGCGGACAGCTCAGAGCCTGGAACCTGTTTCGGATTCTGTGTCTCTCTCTCTCTCTCTCTCTGCCCCCTCCCCCCCCCACTCACGCTGTCTCTCTCAAAAATAAATAAACATTAAAAAAATTTTAAAAGTTGAAGAAATTACTCTCTTTTAGGTCTCTTGGCAAGTAGAGTTCCTATTTTGTTCAAAGGTGTCTCAAATCCCACTCTGTAGGAACTCCAGATTCTAGCTGTGCTTTGAGTGGCCCCACTTCATCCTGTCTTCCCTGAAGAAACCCCTGAGAGAGGAGCAGAAAGGCCAACACTGTCCTGCTTCTTAGTGCCTCTCTGTCCCTCTAAGGGCAGTACTCCTGGACTGTGTACTGTGTCGGTCTCCGGCAAGCCCATGGGTTCTGATGAACCATCAACTCATCAATGATTTCGACTGTCAACTCTGAGGAAATAACCCCTCAACTTCATGATGTACTGGTAAGAAGGATGAAAGATATGTTTAGTATCCCCCCAAAATGTGTGGTATGAAGGAGCTTGAAAACTTGGGCTCTCATACTAGCTCTGTTACTTACCATTTGAGTAATTCTGGGCAAATCTCAACCTCTCTGAGCTCTAATTTCTCCTCAGTGAAATGTGAAAAGTAACATTTGCTTTGCCAACAGGATCATTGTGAGGTTGTCAGGAGGAGAGGGTGAACGTATTTTGTGAAGGGCATGCACGCGGCATTGTTATGATCACATCCCAATGTTTTTCTCCTTGATCTTATCAAGATAGATCCTGGGACTTTGGCTTTTCATCAGCCGAAGCAAACAGTCCCGCCCCAGATGTTTGTCTGAGGGGTGGCCCTGCCTCATGGGAACTTCCGGCTTTGCCCCAAGACGCACTTCTTATAGAGTCCTGCACTGGGCTCTGCACAAGCTCCCAGCTGGGCATGGAAGACCTGGCCTCTAGGGCTGTCCTCAGGACACTTGCAACATCTTTGGCTGGACAACTATCCACATGTGGAACAACAAAAGATGTGTACAAAGCACCCATAAAACAACTGAAAGGGATGGGTCAGCAGAGCTGAGAGAGCACCATGTGAAGACAGAGCTAGGGCCTGGACTTGGGACAAGGGGACTTGGGGTGCCTCCTTGAGGAGGGTAACAATCATAAAGCCAGTATGCAGAGTAATACTGAGCAAAACTGACTGCGTGGCACTCTACCTTAGGTTGTAGGGAGACCCAGACATGTTACGAGATACGGAGATGACGACATTGGAATGATCATGTTGATAACAATGAACATTCATTAAGCACTTTCTATGTGCCAGGCAACCTACTAAATGCTGCTTAAAAATTGTTTTTATTGTTTTCAAAATTAAACTTTTTTTTTTCAAAGTAAACTCTACCCCTGATGGGTCTCAAACTCATGACCCCAACATCAAGAGTTGCCTGCTTTATGGACTGAGCCATCCAGGCACCCCTCAAAGTTAAAGTTGTAATGAAGTCTAAGGAAACTAAAGTGTATTAAAAAAAGGAGCACCTGCCTATTATGGTCGGTAGAGTGAGTGACTCTTGATCTTGGAGCCGTGAGTTTGAGCCCCACACTGGGAGTAGAGCTTACTTTAAAAAACCCCAAATCTTAAAAGCCTAAAAAAATGTGTACATCTCACCTCAGAAGTAACCATCTCACCTCAGGGTTTTGAGCTGAGCACTTTACCCACATAAACTCATTTAAACTGTAGAGAAATCTTATTGGAAAGATTTATCCCCATTTGCAGGTGGAGAAAACAAAACTCAAGAGAGGTTAAATTTAACACCACCCATGTGGTAAGCAGTGGAATGAGGCGGGACTCAAACTCTAGCCCAGTCAAGCCGGAGGTGACTTCCTGAGGTCTCTCAGTGAAGGGGATGGAGTCAGCTCTGGAAGAAGACACCCATAGTGGTCACGAGTTTTAGAGGAAGCTGCTAACCAGTTCAAAGAGTGAGGTGTGGGTAGCAGAGAAGGCCTAGAAGCTCCCTTCATCTCTTCATGACACCTTGGGATTCTGACTTTCTGAGTTCTGTTTGGGTAACAGCTCTGTATACGGGTCAGTGTCCTGGCAGGGAACAGACGGCACATTTAAAATGGATCATTTGAAAAGAGTTAAGGGACTATTTACAAAGCTGTGGACAGAGGTTAGGAGGCAAGAGATAGAGCCGTTACCATCCCTAGCACTGGAGGGACAAGAGAAGGGGAACTCAGAAAGGATGGATTTGGGGGCACCTGGGTGGCTCAGTTGTTTAAGCATCTGACCCTTGATTTGAGCTCAGGTCATGATCTCATGGTCTGAGGGTCTGATATCGAGCCCCGCATCAGGCTCTGTGCTGACAGCCTGGGATTCTTTCTCTCCTTCTTCCCCTGCCCCTCCCCTGCTCACGCTCTCAATTCTCTCTGAAGAAGAAGAAGAAGAAGAAGAAGAAGAAGAAGAAGAAGAAGAAGAAG